CTATCGCTATTTCCTCGCATTGTGTCTTGGGCTTAACGTTACGTGTGTTTTATCTCCTTGGGTGCATTCAGTACCACGACTGCTCACTGAGCGCTCAGTGAGCTCTTGTATCTGTTTGGTCTATATTTTTAGTTCTAACGGAATATGCCAATCAGATGCAAGAGCTCACTGAGCGCTCAGTAAGCGGTTGTAGTACTGAATGCCCCCCTTGTCTCCCATGGAGCCGTAATCCCATGAAATTTCCGTAAAAATTACTAGTTATTACCAGTAACGCTTTACCTAATTTTATCTATTTGACTAAATTTGACGATTTAATTAAAACTTTTGTTATAATCAAAAAAATATATATATATATTCTGTAATTTTCTTATAAAATAAAATAAAAATGAACAGTATAACTTCTTAAATAAAAAATATTACATTTACACGTCCACATTTTGCGGCTCCATGGGACAAAAGGAGCATGTAAGCACGCAACGCAATTGCGCTCCGACGTCAAACAAAAATAAACATGCCATAACCTACCTTTAATTTATAAATAGTGATTAATTTGTTTGCCAACAATTTTAGAAATTAGAAGTGCATAATGAATCTTTGAATATGTTATTGGTGCAAATACAACAATATGGTCTGTTTTCTGACGTGCACTAGACTGCACTAGAACTCTCATTTCGCGTAGTTGCGGATTACGTGAGAAATATCTGCCGTACAACATACGCAATTCCTAGATACTTTTGCGGACATCCGATGCGGATTACGGATTGCGGACTGTATGTGTCGGCATCCTAAATGTAGTACAACATATTAATCTACAATCGAGTAAAGATTCAACGAACTTTCACCTTCAGATTGAGCATTGCTCACAACACTTCGATATTGCGGGATCTATAATAGAAGTCGTAGCGGTCGTAGAGTCTTAAGTAGTAGAAAATCAATCAATCACAGTCAAATATGAGAGGAATAATCAACTGTGATTGATCAATTTTCTACAACTTAAGATCCTACGACCGTTACGATTTCTATTGTAGACCCCGCATTAGGCTTCTGCGCACTGGACGCGGTAAAAGCTTACCGCGCGGCAAAATGCGACGCGGTAACCAATGAACATGTTAAGAGCTGTAAGCTTATTGGCTACCGCGTCACATTTTGCCGCGCGGCAAGCGTTTCCGCGTCCAGTATGCAGGAACTAATACTCGTAACATAATATATTCGTAATATAATAAACTCGTCAAATAATATATCATAAAATGAACACAATAAAAGATGAAAAGGACTTCGCACTCATTTCCATACGTCGAGACAAAAAGAATGATAACACAATGACTACGTTTACACGGAACCATTTATGCCGAAGTTATAACATCGATATTATGAAACTGGCCAATCACAATCATTCCATTCTTCTGAGGAATAGCTATGATTGGCCAGTTTCATAACATCGACGTTGTAACTTCGGCGTAAATCAAGCCGTGTAAACGTAGTCAATGTAGACACGTACGTGACAGCACTCTGATTGATTCACTCTTACTTTTTACGCAGTTGTAGTTGTGAAAGATAAAGTTGAACCGTCTTTCACAACACACTTTACAACCGGGAGTAGCAGGTTAAAACTTCGCTTTACAACATTTCACAACTACAATTGCAACTACGTTTACGCAATTGTAGATCGGGGTTAAAATTGGATTCGCTACTGGCCTTATGCCCGTGTCACACTACGGATTGTGGACGCGGATCGGATTGGGATTGCGGAATAGACGGCTCTCTATTTTTGTGATCCGTAATCGTGATCCAAGCCAATGGCTGCGTTCAGCAGAGAAAACTAATCAGTTAGCGCTTAGTGATTCTTTAATACGATTGGTTCCTACACTTAGATTTTGCGAAGAACTAAAGGCAAGAACCAATCATATTAAAGAATCACTAAGCGCTAACTGATTAATTTTCTTTGCTGAACGCAGCCAATAAAATATCGAGTTTGGTCAGGTGACCCATTTATGATGGATGAATAAGCATTGTTTGTTGTGGTTACCTATGCTAATTATAGAGACGTATTTATAGAAAATTAAAAATCGGGACGTCCCACAAAATTCGGAATGGTCAGCCTATACACAGCAAACGTCGACGACACTGTATTAACGACATGACATTTGCGATACAGCATATGTTGCAAATTGAATCCGTAGTCCGTACTGTGAACGAAGAATCCAAATCCAACGATCCGCAATCCCAATCCGATCCGCGTCCACAATCCGTAGTGTGACACGGGCATTACGGTCTCTACCGTGATTGGCCAATTCGCTTACTGATTACGTCTTATGCGGGATCTACAATAGAAGTCGTAGTGGTCGTAGAGTCTTAAGTCATAAAAAATTAACCAATCACAGTCGAATATGAGAAGAATAATCGACTATAGTTGGTCAATTTTCTACGACTTAAGACCCTACGACCGCTAAGACTTTCTATTGTAGACCCCGCATTAAGCTGGCTCTACATTAGTCCGGATCTACAATAGATGTTTTAAGAAACTGACCAATTACAGTCGAATTCGAGGGGAATAATCGATTGTGATTCGTCCATTTCTTATAACTTATGCGGAGTCTACATAAGGCTTAAAACCCTATTGTAGATCCGGGATTAGTCGCATCCATGAAGTAAGACCATCGACATCTAGAATGGACCGCTGATGGCAATAGTGGGGGTAGAAAACTGATGGCAATGGTGGGGGTAGAAAGACGATTAGAGTGAGAGGCAGGAATAATAAGATCGTTCTTTCTCTGTTTACTGAAGCCTGATTGGTTGTTGGACTACTGTTGGATTAACAACAACCAATCAGGCTTCAGTAAACAAAGAAAGAACGATCTTATTATTCCTGCCTCTCACTCTAATCGGCTTTCTACCCCCACCATTGCCATCAGCGGTCCATTCTAGATGTCGATGAGTAAGACTAAAGAGACCTAACTAAATAGGATAGGGAGAAAAAGGTTGGTCACGAAAAATGTGTTCCGTGTACTGCCATGTCCGCCGAACGGAATAACTTGCAACATTCCATCGCCATATTGAATATTTATATGTGTGCAGTATACTTGCGACTGTGTCATACATATGTGTATTAAATACGTGTCTCCTAAAAAGTAGAGTAGCTTGCCCTCCTAAAATCTTAATAAAAATATATCCATTCGTCGCGTTTTCACTCAAAACGAAAGAATCTGTAAGAAAAATGCGGCGATCGGCCTTGTGAACCGAGTTATTAAGC